AGTCAGGCTAAAAGGTCCGAGGGCAAAACTGGTCAGGATCAGCCAATCAGAACAACAACATTTACGCCTGAGAACTCTTACCAAAAGGCTTGAATAATCTGGCACTGATGGCTGGGAGCAAGACCCTTAAATAGAGGCAAGAGCAGGTGATTAACATGAACAGTGATTAGAAACTGGGCAGAGCAAACCAGTTGACTGGAATAAACCATTAAGCTAGTCATCAGCACCATAATCATGACAAACACTTGCCTTTTTAATACTTTACATAATTTTTTGAAACCCCATTCTTTTTATTTTCTCTTAAGCACATACGATTTGGGAGTTTTGATTATCCCTGTAATTATACCCTGTCTCAACATCGAGAATATATGCAGTTTGAAATTCTACCAGATCAGAGAAATTAAGCAAGCAGTAATGAATTAAAACTGGGCTAGTGGGTTCCTTTTATCTTGTTTGTGAACTATCCTGACGTCTCTTTTCTGCAGCATGCATAGGATTTTTAGTGATGTCCAGTAGGTGTTACCCCAGACTTGCACAAAATAGTTAATTTGGTGTGGTTTGGTTTATTTAAAACTTGAAAAGAACATCCGTTACCTGGTTTTTACTACCATAGATGTCATTATCACTTAAGTTCAATGGTATAATGAGATAAAATGCAGAAAAAAATCTTGTTGCCTGTAAAGGCTGGCAACTACCAATCAAAACATTAAATAATTGATAATAGAAGACGGTAAAACTCAGAGTAATCGGCAGCACTAATCATTTAATGTAACACAGTTAACAAAATTAAAGCCATAGAGAAGGAACGGGGTGGGAATGAATTAACTTATTCAAGTCACATGAAAACTCACAAACAACCCCACCCAGGTGCACACTCTAACCATTCAAAAAACCCTCTTAAGTAATATACATGCTCCATGCAACCCCCAAACAAATCCACTCCACCCTAATCACACCACCTCCGGCAAGAACAGACCTCTATACGTTGAAACAGTTGACCTATGTTTGGCCACAGTGGGTGTGGTAAAGGTTTAAGTGTATCTATGACGCCAACCTGCCTTTCACAGCTTATTTTTGGCCTGTGTTTGGTGAACATCAATGGCAAGTGGCTCTCTGTGAAGGCTTTTCCAGTCTGTAAAGTTGCCTCTGTTTGTTATTTTTTATTTTTTTCAAATGGAATGGAGAGAAGTAGAAAAGTGCGGTGAAGTAGAGAGGGAAAAAAATGCAGAAAGTTATGACAACCAGGTGTTTTCCCCCTTTTCATCAGGAATGCTTCACCTTATAAAAGCATGGGAATGAGAGGCAATATTGAACCAGCTCTAAAAGAACAGTTTTTGGGATTTCTGAAGGGGTGTGTCCTGACCAAAGGACATGAGTGAGCATTAATGTGTCTTTGAGTACCAGCATTAACTTTTTGAGGAGCCAGATGCGGAATTCTTCCTTGCAACCATAGCGTAGCCATGACTTGGAGAGGCCAAGGCGTTCTTTCGTGTTTTGGGTGTTGACTCCACTGACCAATTTTCTGCCTCACTGAGCCTTCTTGTTTGATAGGGTGTGATCACGCAGGAGCACACACCTGGTTGATGAATGAATGGCAGGCCAGACTTCCACACAGGGGTCCTATTGATGACATCATCACCTGGCATCTGGTCACTCCACCCTTTATGTGCTCACAGAGCCATTCAGTTGCACCATGGCTCTTTCACAGACATGACGCCTTGCTGCTTGTTTTTTAAAGCTGATTCAATTTCATTGGCTCCACCACCCTACCAAATAGGTTTTCATAAGAGATCCTGTAGATTCTGATGCCACAATGAACAATGGAATGCCTATGACCTTCCATCGATACAGTATGGATGTCTATGAGCAAAGGAAACCCACTTTATTCCATGTTTAATCACTTAATTTGGTTTTACATTGCTAAATATGGCACATGAAATCCTGCAAATGCATATAAATTTCGCCATAATGACACTGTTCAAACAGCAGCTCCCATTAAAGTAATAGACATGATCCAAACATGCCCCTGCAGGAGAATTTGTCTGCAGTTCTCATGTGAGGAAAAGTTGAGTTCAGCTCAACTTTAGCTCTAATGATCAGTAGATTATACAGTCTGGGGACGTTTATTACTCTTCCTGAGCAAAACACGAGTGAGAGGATTGTAGCAAGACTGCCAGCTTTTGATAACTGCATGAAACGTGTGTGGATTGAAGGAATGAATCAGTGGGTGTTGCTCAAATGACAGAGCCGTCTTTAAATCAATACCAACTGGAACATCTGGAGAACTCTTTAAACCTTTAAAAACTGTGTTCTTATGACTGTATCTATAATTAAATCTATATATTAGTACCTATACCATCTTGCCCAATCAGAAAAAAAGAGCAATATACTTTTCAAGCTACAATTGTGTAGGTCTTAGCTAGATGGGCATTCTCCCTTTCAGACTCTGACTCTACCCAACCTTATAACCCTGTTAGTCTTTAATAAATCACTATTATGAAAAATATTCAAATATGAAAATCAGTTCAGCTTTTTTATAATTTCCAAAAGAGAATTTATTTGATAGACCAGCACATGCATTTGTGTTCATGCACCTTTGGTTTAATATTCCTAAATATAATCCAAAGCAACTAAGTGTCCTTTAAAAGTCCCCTAATGTAAATAGAATTCATCATTTATATATTTTTTCTCAGCTTTTTTTTTTTCTTTAGTTATTCTGTTGTTGGAAAAAAAACAAAAAAACAAAAAAAAACATAAAATACATCCTAACCCTGAACACATCCCCTTCAGTAAAACACAGTATTGGCAGTACTATGCTGAGGGTTTTTTTCTTTTTCTTTTTTCTTTTTTTTTTGTCCATGGGCATGAGGAAGCTGGTGAGAGGTAATGTCAATGCTCAAAGATCCTGAGGCCAGGATAGGAGTTAAACTTCTAGAAGGATAAGACCTCCAGGCATAAATCCAGCTTGTCAGATATTTTCCAGTCTCCAATCTGGCTGAGGTTTTCTAAATTTGAATGTTTAAAGATGTCAATCTACTGACATGTAAAGCAGATAGAGACATGCATCAAATGACTTGCAGCTGTAATTGCAACAAAGACTGTTCTATAATTTCATGTCTCAGTATTTAGATTTTTATCTTAAAAATGAAGGCCATGTATTATTTTCTCTCTCCTTCCGATTATACTCGGCTTAGTTTGGTCTATCAAATTTCATTTTAATAAAATACTATGAAGTTTGTGGTTGCAATATTATAAAACATAAAAAAGTTCAAGGTCTGTGAACACTCTTTCAGGATACTATAACTAGTGTGTCCAAAAAATGAAATAGGCCAAATTTTCTGCTGCACTACTATTATTATACCTGAACTTCATCCTTACCTATTTGCTTTTATTATGAAGACATTGAAGTGATGGTTAAAACTTTCCTTATTAAGGAGAATAACATTTCATTAATTCCGCATTTACCCAGCTGCTACTGGTTACTTTACAACGAGACCTTAAAGGTAAAGTTTTAAGTTTATCAGGCAGGAAAACCTCTCATTCTGTAGTTTTTTTTTTCTCTTGCATCTAATCAACTGGAACTAAATCAAAACATGTTACTATGGAGTCATAACAGGACATATATATGAAAAAATTAAGGAAATAGAAGCATGATGTGAGTTTAATGAAGACATAGCTTTTTGCAATGGAAAACAATTAATATAGCTAAATGATATAATACACAGAATTATAATTTATTTCCTCACCAAGTTAACCCTGTGTTAGGGCAGCATCTACATCATTTGCTTGTTTGCTTTATTTATTTACCTAAAGAGTCCCATTAATTTAACATCTCTTTTTCAAAGTAGGCCTGGCTAAAAAACACTTTTCTTTTTTTTTTTTTTTTTTTTTTTACCACAAGCAGATAGTAACTGGTTTCGTTTCAGTTACATTTACTTGACTAATTTCGTGAAAAATACTTTAAAAGTAGTTGCACTTTTCCTTACAGGACACTATCAGTCAATTAATACTGTTGTGAGATCATCGCTTTCTTAATTTTAGTAAAATATCTGGTTACTCTACCCACAACAAAACACTTGAGCTCTTCAATATTAGATGAAAATATAGTAAACTGTAGATATTTTCAATAAAAGTTCTTTATTCATTGCTAATATAAAGTATTGGTAAGTATTGGTTTTAGAAGGTTCTGTTGATTTTTTTTTCTTTTGTTGCAATTCGTTATTTTGTACTCAGGTTATATCATTGTATTTTTTTTATACCTTTCTGTCTGATTACAAAACTTTAAGCATTAAATCATATATTACAAGCCAAAAAGTAGCCATTTTATCAAGAACTTTTTTACTATTAGTGGATGGATTTCTTGCATGGATTCTCTTTACTTTTATTAGAGTGAAAAGATGTTAAAGTAGTGCTACTTTTATTTTGTTTTGCTTTTTTTGGTACTCGATCCACCTTTAGTTAGTAGTAAACCAGGTATAATTTAATGGTTACAATTAACCATTTAACAATTTAATGGTTACAAATAAGACTACCCCTAACAAAATATAAGCATAGTATATTGCTTTGGTTACATTAGTTTTAATGTACCATCAGACCAAGACTTGTAGATGGAAAAACCTTATCTAACATAATTTGAATTAGTACTGGGGTCATATAATCCTTGTTGAACTCACAAACTGTAACATGTTTTCTATACCTAACAAGCTCAAATGTTACTCCAAAGAGTTTGTTTGATCTGATATGAAAAGTCATTACATGCGGAATGGGCTGATTACATAGAAATGAGATGGAAATACAGTATATGGCCAAAAGGCTCTCCCATATTTCCATTTTTCATGTTTGTTTTTTTTCCCCCTTCACATCATCCTACCCCACCCCTCTTTTTGCGGCTAGTAACCCACCCGATCCTACTCACTCCCCTCCTTCTCTGTTTTCTGCTACATACACTTGCTTTTTGTTCAAAAGGGGTTAACTCAATGAACAATCCAGGCTGTCTTTTCCCAAAATAAGCCAGTGGGAGAGGGACCGGCGGAGTGTAAGCCAGAGAAATTGGAGCAGAGAGGTGCACAGCCCGCAGTTATAAGTCTCTGAAGTGGGACCCACAGCCTTCAGCTCCAAATACACTGCCTTGCTGCTCCCCTGCCTGACCTGACTGACTGACACACTGAGTTTCCCTCCACTCCCTCTCCCTCTATGTCCTGCTCCTTCCCTCCTACTTTCCACCCTGGAGAGTGAGAGTGCACACATTGGGAAGGTGCCCCTCAGACCTGCGCCTGGACCGCTTGAAGACAGCAAAGAGAGGATTTCTCCCCCTTCCTTTACTTTCATCCTCTCTTTAGATTTCACCATCTCTGGTTGGACTTTGTCTTGGATTTGACTTGCCAGACACAGAAAAAAACTTTAAGAACAGAATTATTTCATCTGCAGCAAAGTCTAAGTTTTGAGTTTTATTTTTGGTTGTTTTCTTCTACTTTTTTTGAGTTAACTTTCTGCACTTGCAAGAGCATCAGACCAGTTTAGAATACAGCCGTTTGTCCTGGAGGACCCCTCTCCGTATTTTTGACTGCATGTTCACTGAACATCTGATACTGCCACATCTCATGGGAGACTCGCGTGGCTGAAGCAAGGTGGGTGGCAGAAGAGAGAGACCGACCTGAAGAGCACACCTGCAACTCCCCTAGCCTGCCTGCCCTACAACACCGCAACAGAGGGAGAGGTAAGCGCTACCTGTCCTCACATTTTCTCTGGCTCTACTTGCATCCCCACGTCCTGTCATCAATTCATTTTATCACATGTGGCTGAGATGAACCGGGCCAAGAGAAACAGAAGGAGAGAGAAGGAAAGAGGGAAAAAATGTATAAAAAACAGATTCAGCATCTCAGTCATAAGACTCGAGTAAATCTCCTCACCCCTAAGCTAGTTCACTAAATACCAGACTTAAAGATTAAAAAGAACGTGGCTTCAGTCTGTTCACAAATTTCTACTTCACCCCTTTTTTTTGAATGCCCTTATGGTATAAAAAGCTCACTCCTCTAGAAAGTATACTTGCATTCTAAATTCTCTTTTGTGACTAGGAATTCCAGTCTTTACTTAGACGGACTTCATCCCACACATTTTTGGGGTAGCTGATGATGTTAAACAGGCGTGGCATATCTCATAACAGTGAGGCAGCAGGTTATGTTCTGGTATGGTCTCAAAGGAAAATGCTTTATCTGGATGAATCTCAAAGCAAAGGTGTAACTTAAGGTCAAAGATATTTTCAAATTTTTTGCCAAAAGTTAGAAACTAGTTTCTTTTTCTCTTTTCTCTCTTCTCTTCTCTTTTCTCCTCCACTGTTGCTTAATTCCATCCATTGTGACGCCTCTGGCAGGCAATGCTGCATTCCTTTAGTAACAACATCCCTTCACCAAAAACTTAGAAAGGACAAATAGTTGTGACTCCAAGTTTTTGGTTGTCCCATATGGGTAACAAAGAGACTCTGAGAGAGAAGGAGAAAAAAAGAAAACAAAGATGAAAAACTAAGAACTCCTGTTACCATAAGTGCATCGGTTTTTGGTTGACTGTCTCAGTAAGTATTCCAATGAAAATAATGTTGATCCTAACTTTTACAATTCAAAACATTTGGCAGCATCCCTTTATATATTGAGGGCAATTGAGAACAGGTGTATAGGTTGTGTCAAACGAGTGCAAGAGTTTACATAAGTATTTATATATACTATGCCATCTTTTGGACCACTAAACAGGACTTGAGTCAAGCTGATGTCCAAAGCTCTATTTGCCTGAGGCTAACTACTGTTAGGTTGATAAAAAACTGGTCTGCCTGTTTTTTGTCTTCACGAAGGCAAGAACAAGGGTGATGCCAGTCTTCTTTGCTGTGGATATGACAGCCTATTCCTCTGGTTTCAAGTGATTTTCAGTCTACATGGGCTGGAAGTTTGCCAGCCATGGGCTGACTTGAGGTTGCAGGCAGCTCAAGTGTGACTGGTGCGAGTGGTTCCTTTCTAAAACCGCACATGCCAGGCCTGATCAGGACCTCTTGTGTAAAGTGCCAAAGCGCGTCCAAGTATACACAAACAACGGTCATGCTGGATATTCCCGAGGGCACACGTGGTGTACTTTAACTATCGTGTAGTGCAAACAACTACATGGGTGAAGCACTCCCTATAAACAAAGATTTCAAACATAGTAAAACCTATAAATCTATCTGTCTGTCTGTCTGTCTGTCTGGCTGTCTTTCTGTCTGTCTTGTCATCGATAACCTTCCAAGGTAATCTTCTCAGGCCTGGGAAACATGTTATATTTTATATCCACAAGGGGGCACTGCAATTTTCTGCCAAATTCCAAGCTAACATGCATTAAGTACACAGTAGATTAATGTCGTACTGGTAATCATATTTAAGGTTTTGTCCTTCTGCCCTCACATCCATTACCATCCTTAGCAACCGTCCTACTGTCCTGGGTCTGTTCAAAGGATGTTTTTTTCTCTTCAGTGTTTGGCTCCCTCATGTTCTCCCCACGTTCTTTTGTGCTGCGCTGAGCAACTTTATGCTTTTGCATATGCTCTTGTGTTCAAGAGTTTGCCAGCACATGTGCCTCTACTACTTCCAGTGCTAACAGGAAATGAAGAAGAATGCCAGTCATTCACTCCCAGAGGTAAACGCCCTCTTAGTTCTCTACGGTGCTGGAACACAAAAAACACATACACACAATGAAGTACCGACACACTTGTTTTATCAAAGCCCTTTGTTTCATTATCTTTCAGAGCAGACAAACTGAAAATGGGGAGGTGATATAATTTAAAATCAGGCTCTGATGGTGTTTTTTATCAGCCATATTGTTTTGTTTTTTTTCCTCCTTCCTTGATATCTGTAATTTTAGCCCTAGATGCGTGAACAGTCTTGAGTGCACATTAGAAGGAATGCTAACTGGTTCTGGTAAAATACTGCATTGCATAAAGAGTGGTGGGAACTAAATACAGGTTCTGGTCTTAATCAAAGCTTGGACTGAATCGTTCAAGACTAATAGGCTGGATTTGTTTTTCGGCTTGAAAGGGAAGCGGAGAAAAAGACATATCTGCTAAAACCCTAAAAAAAATTTTTGTCTGCAGAAGCTTAAAAGTTTGCAGTTTTTCTCCATCTTCCTTCTGTTTATGCTCTTTGAGCTTGTATTCACTCCACCAGTAGCCATTTTGGCCTGGACAGTTAAGTAAAATATGTGGAAATCGCTCTGCAATGAGCCAAGATAGTGAATCGACACAAATGCCTGTCCCTTCAAAATGGATCGGGCAGCTTATTACTAGAGAGACAGTTCTGGCTCTGTATGAGCCAAAGGACAAGCATAAGAAGAAAGGGAAATTGAAAAGTAGAGTCTAATTATCTCTCATGCAGAGGTTTTCCTTATTGTTCCATGATTTATTTGCCTTCTATTCCATATCTTCGTTTATCAATATCCCACTCGTGGTTTAAGTCTCTCATAACTGTCTGGAGCAGAGGAAGTTTTTCCACTGGGTTGGCAGCAACAGGAGGATGAAGAAAGGGAGAGAAAGAGAGGGAGAGCAAACAGTAGGGAGGCTTGGCAGACACCCCTTGTTATTTTTCCTCCACCTCCCATTGACTCTGTCAGCGCTTGGTTTGCTCTTAGAAAGGGCTCATAGAGCAGAATGGGTTGAGAACAGCATCTATCAGTCGGGACTTATCACAGGAACTCTGGTAGAAAGAAAATTATGGTGAAGGTAGAGGTTGTCAACACGATATTGCCACGACTCCTCTAAACATCTCCCCTAATCTTTCTGACCTTTTTACACTTGTCAAAGCAACTTTGTTCTCTAAGGACAGCTGTTGATCTTCACACTGAGAGAAAAGCATGGTGTAGAATACATTTAAGCAGTTTTGTTTGTAGCCAAATGTAAAGATCTCCAGTGTTCTTTTTTTCCACAACAGCATCTCATGTTTCCAAAGGCAGCCTATAGTACAAGTGTTGATGACTTCTCTGTTGGTAAGACACTGCTGTTCTGACCTAATGCAGTGTGACATCTTCATTTTATCAACTTCAACCCAGCTTTATTCTGACTCTACTGGGCTGCTGTTTTCCATTGATGTCTCTGATATGTTTTTGGTCAATAAATCAATTGAAAATACTAATTGCTGCATTTATGTTTCAAACCTAAGACTGGATTCCTATTGCTAGGGTAGAAATTAATGATTTCATGTCCACTTGTGTGGAATAGCTCCACATTTAAGAAAGTGGGAAAGATCTTTGGGTGTATTCATACCAGGAACATCCTTTTGTCCAGACCAAAAGCAGATTCTTTGTTTTTCATTTTTCATCCAGTGAGATTTGCTCTTATATTTTCTATTTTGCGAGTGAAGTACACCTTCCATGTGTCCAATAATTCCTCTGTCGGTAAAGAAAAGACTAGGGCAAGGCTGAGTAGAGAACAATAAACGGCAGAAAGCTACTATGGTGGTCCTGTGTGCACTGCAATTCTGCAAACTTGTGTTTTCACTATAGCTACTAAATCATCAATTGCACGTCAAGAACACCTCATCCAACTCTTGTTAAATCACTTTTTATTTTGAATTTTGGAATGTGTTGGAGGGTATATTCTGCAACCCCACAGCATTGATAAGCAACAGATAGTAGATCACTTATGATTTCAGAACTACCTGCTTTGCTATGTTGGTCTGTTTGGAAACAGACCAAGACCATCTCCAGAAGTGGCTCTCGGTCCAATTGTTTTGACCAGACCGGGGTTCTCTTGCATCTATTTAAAAGATCCTGACAAAGAGGAGGAATAAACTATGGTTCATTTAAAGAAGACAAAAAGTGTAAGGTGTAAATACATCCTGAATATTTATCAGTATTGGAAATAATCAAAGTGTTCGCAAGGTGGATCCTAAAAACATATTATTTCTAAGATGCTTAATTGTTTAGCCATTATCAAACTTTTAATTCAACTCTTTCTAGAGTTTAAAGGAAAAGATTACAGACTGTGTTTTGGTAATATATCAAAAGTTTGGCAAAAGGGCAGAAGGTGACTGAAAAATATGAAGGAACCAACATTTAAGGCACCAGGAGACATAGGTTCCCACTTTAGAACTATTAGCAGGAAGAGGACACCTTACTGTGGTCCACATCTTACCTTCTAATTTCTTGATTATGGGAATTTTTGAACATTCTTCCAGAAATGCATTTGTGAGGTCACACACTGATGCCGGATAAGAAGGCCAGACTCTCAATCCCCACTCTATTTAATATCCTAGATGTTCTATCATGTTGAGGTCAGGACTCTGGCATCCATGTATTACTGACCTTTCTTTGTGCGCTGGTGCTCACTCATGTAAAAGGAAGGGACCAGCTCCAAAACCGTTCCCACTTACAACTGCATCCAATGTTTAGCATGGCAATTGGTGATGTATGGCTTGGACAAACCCATTCCATGAATCCGCTCCGGTGGTTTACTTTGGGAACCACTTCATGGCTGAGTTGCTGTTATTCCAAAACACTTAAAATTTTCTATGATATTCTGATAGTTTACTGTAAAAGACATTTAGGAGCAATTGTATTCCAGACTGGATTTTTTGCACAGGTGGTATCCTTTCACAGTTCCACATGGGACGTATATATTTATATATAGTTCTTGTTATCACTACTTCTAGAGCACAATGGAAATGTGTTTAGCTGACCTGTAATAGCCAGTGTAAGCATGGGTAGCCT